AAATAAAAAATATTTGATTAAATATTTTGGCGTTTTTTGAGAAAAAAATATTTATTTAAATAAAATATTTAAGTAAATATTTGGCCGTTTTTGCCTCTCAAAATCAATATTTTGAACAAAAATTCATTGGTCAAGTGATTTTAAATCATATTCTTTTCATACCACAAAGTCGATATGACACGAATATACTCAAATATAAAAGTTGCAGTCAAAACAAGTCAGCGCTATTGTTATTGTTTATGCCGAATTTAATTTGAAATGAATGAGATAAGAAGTACGTGAATTACAGATCGAATTGATTTCCCACTTGTAATATGTATTGAGTATTTTTGTTGTATAAGTTTTGATGTTTCGTTTGAACTCGCAAAATTCAGGATGCAGGCGATGCAAAATCGATAGGAAAGGCTCAAACCGCTATCGCAAAGCCGAAAAATTTGAAACGAGAATTGACTTTTATCAAGAACAACTTTTCTTGCATTGTCACAAACATCACAAATTATTGAAGCTCTTGAAACATTTGAATTTGTTCGCAACAATTTACAACAAATTCGTGGGAAATCGGGATTTCTTGACAAAGCTCGCAACAAGGGTTTTCAGAAATGAAAGAAATCTCAGTAATTTTGAGCACAGGAAAGAGCAACAAAAATGATGAATTTGTTGAATCATTAACACCGAACGAATTGAGTGCATTTAAATTAGCGCCAATAATATCTTGTGATGTCGAACGAACATTTTCGCGCCATTGGGCTGTATTGAGCGACAATCGTCGATCATTGTACAAAAATTTGAAAAAAATTGTTGTCGTATTTTGTAACCAGTTGCAATTGTGAAAAAGATATATCAATAAATAATTTATTCCAATAAATTCTTGAAAAAAGTATTGATTTTCATCTTAAATATTTTATATTTATCATAAATATTTTTCCGTTTTTTGAGATTTAGCCTAAATATTTCAGGCCTTTTTCTGAGATATTTAAATAAATATTTCGCCTGTTTAGCGTAAATATTTTCTTCGGCCCTGATCATGACAAATAACTCTATAGCATCGCACGGAAGAAGAAGAAGAAGAAAAAGATTTACCGATTTGAGTTCACTCAGCACACAATCATCGCATAAATTCTTTTCATCGAACAACAATATAAAACTGCAACAACTTAATAATCATTTTTGATTCATTGAACATAGAAAGAAAAAAAGACGAGAGGCGGCGAGAAAGAGAAAAAAAATCCGATTTTATGGAAATAGCGAGAAATGCTCGTAATTTATTTTGGAATTGCATTAAAGCCGTCACCATGTGAAACTCCGAAAGCTGAACTGAAAAAATTGGATCATAAAAGTCGTGATATTTTAAACATATTTTTTTTCGCTTGTATTTTGATATGCGTGCGACATACAAATGTCGGCTTTTCTAATTTATTTCGTGCGCTATGATTCACTGTGGTTCCATTTGCCTGTCTCGCTATATCTCAATCGTGCTATTTTATTGGGCTTTATTTTGGTGAAACGCTACTTCGTTTTCCGCTCGTCCAATTCATAATTTAAATAGCACGAACAGTGAGCGCAGCTCATACGGCAGCACGCTCGGGCAATAGGAATTTTTGTGATTTTTGCACCGGTCGAACAAAAGATAAACATAGCGATTTTATTTGCAAGATAATTTTTGTTGCCATTTTTTTCTGACGTTGTTGCTGTTGTTGTTGTTGTGTGCTCGTCACTCATACGAAAAGTTCAATAAACCGACTGCATTGCTTTGGCACGATGTGCGATGTGCTAACCAAAATGGTGTATCTGGTTTTGTCGCTCGAAAAGCGTGTTATGAGCTGATGTCAGCAGCACTAACTGATATCAGTTGCTGTGCTCAGCTGTTGAATCGCAATGCGTTGCTTTGTTTTAATGCATTTGAGATGATTTCTGGACCCATGGGATGGTTACTGGCCATTTCTACTGAAAATGTATCAAAACAACGCAACGCATGCGAAGTCAGCAGCTGAGCTCATCATCTGACGTGTCATTTAGTGCTGCTGACATCAGCTCATAACACGCTCTGGTCGTTCGTTTCAATTGCTGTGGCCTTTCGACCGAACCATGATTCAGTCAATGTTTGCATACAAAGTCTACGACTGATAGCAATATTGGTGCATGTGAACAAGATCGACACGTACGCCTAGTGGAAAGTGGCCACGGCTTAAGCACAATATGCGACACATTTGAAACGTTAAACCTTATTATATTTGCACAAAAACGAGCAGAAAAAAGGAAGGAAAAAAAGCACAAACGAATGAACGAGCTCGCAGCGAGAGAAATGACGTGGATGAACTTAAGCGCGCTCGCGCTCACCCGAGCTCTACTCGACAATCGTTCACTTTGGCATATGTGTGCGTGTTAGTGTTGTTCTTTTTTTCATCAGTCATTATTATTATTATTATTCTCATTCCGTTGCTTTGGTTTTGCCATTGGACTCATCGTTCGTGGTTTAACATCGATTGTTTTGTAATGCGACTTTGTTCTTTATGTATCCTGCTTTTAACCGTTCTCTCTGTGTACTCTCTATTCAAAATCATTCAATAATGAGATTTTATTGTTGTTAGTGAATCCGACCATTCGCTTGCTCTCTTCACTTCTCTCTGTCTCTCTTTAACACACCAAACCAATACCAAAACCGATTAATGTTTCTCATTTTTTTTTCAAAATTGCACATCGTTTTGTTGCTTTGTACCCGAAACACATCGCGAAGATGTAATAAAAGCGCAGAATTTCTTGTTACAATTGAATGTTTGGCTCTCATTTTCGGTTAAACGCTATTGTTGATCGTGCCTTTTGTTCCATTCACTTTCTAAGTTGAGGCTACGCTTCGCTTTGATCGACAGCCAACCAGATATAATTTAATCGAAATGGCAAAAGAGAAGAATCAGATTTTCGATTTGATATTTGACTATTCCATTCGCGTGTATGTGTGTGTGTGTGTGTCGATGTCAGGCGGAATTTTCACGCCCATTAGCTCATCATTATGAATAATTTCGATGATATTTTCATTATTTTCGGACAATTGTGAGAAAAATGCAAACGTATTCAATTTTTCATTTTTCTTCATTACAAACATTTGAAGGTACTTGAATCTTTTTTTTTTTCAATTTATATCATAGTAAGCACTTGAAGCGATCAAGAGAGAGTACCGTTCGAGAGTGGAGCCCAAAGAGGACAGACGTCTAGAAATGGAATTGAAACGAGAGAAATGTTTAATCAAATCTGTGATGAGCAGCAAATTAAAAACATCTGCCCGTTTTGTAGATGTGATTAAAACACGTCTGATAAATCAAGTTCAATACTGCCTGCAGACGCGCGCCACGCAAAACATTTTGGATTTCAGTTGCAATAAACCGCAATTGAGTGACTGGTCGGTCGGCCGCAATCGCAGTCGCAACTGTAGCCGTCATCTCGCACCACACAATTCGATTTGTATTTATGCCGTTCAATAGATTGATTGAAAGTGCCTCATCGAGTAATGAACAGCAGCACCAACAACAACAACGGAAAAAAAGTTGTAGCCTCGAATACATGCATACAATTGTATCAAGATATAAAATGTTGCATGCTCCAAAATCATCGACTGAGTCTTACAGCACGGAAGAAAAAACGATGCACAAGAAAAACACCAACTAAAATAAGTATAAAGTGATTTGAATTGAATTGAATTAGAAGCTGCGAGAGAGAGAGAGAGAGAGAGAGAGAGAGAGAAAAATAACAACAACAACAAGGGAATAAAAAAAAACAACGACATGCGATCCATTTAATCGGTTGCTGCCACAGAAATGCTGGAGAGAACAAGCAAATCCGATAAGTTGTTGCTTTTTTGTTGTTCATTTCAAATGAACAGACGATCAAAATGAAGACACATTCAAATAGATTTTCATTGATTTCCTCTTTTAGAATCATTTCGACGAAGAGAGGAGAAAAAATCGCGATTTGTCGAGAGAATTGAAAAGCAATCCATTTTACTCATCATGCCCTTCGCTTTTTGTATTGTACGTGGAAACGATACATTCTGAATGGAAGACACGACATTGTGAACAATACGAAACTTTCAATGTAATTTTGGTGTTTACTTCATATGAAACTACTTATTTTTTTTTTTTTCGTGTGCATAATATCGACATTTCTCAAGTCATTTAGTTGGTTCGCGAACATAGATTTTGCGTGAATGGCGAAAAAAAGCAACGGAAATGTATCCATGTACTTGGGCTAGATAGGCCAAACGAGTTTTCCGTACACAGCAATTATGAACTTGTCGTTGGCTGCTTTTTTTCTCTTGCTCTTTTCTCTGAAGCAATTTCGAAAATCAATTACATCGCCAGTGTGGATCCAGTCTTTCTGGATCTCTCGCTCTCTTGCCGACTTTTACAAATTCGCTGATCGCTTTAAATCATTTTGATAGAAAGTAGTAATTTTCTGATCTGCATCATTTCTCATGATTTATGATATTTCGTTGGCCGATATCGAATTTCGCTTAAGCAGAGAAAAACAAAAACAACAAAAAAGACGTTTACTAATACGATTAATTACTACATCGTTTTTAATGTATTGTCCAAGAAATATTCAAATGCCACTACATTATGGGCCGTTTTTTTCTTGGAAAGTCGGAATACTTTAAAATTATTGTATATGCCTACGAATGGAGAAATAGAAGGAAATTGTCGAGTATCCGAATTACAATACAAATTAATAAGAAATACGTCGTGCCTATTTGTTACTTTTTTTTCGAATGTTCTTCTCGGCTATTATTTTCTCTACTTTTTGTGTACTTGGACCATTGTTATTGTTGTTGTTGTTGTTGTTGTTGTTGTTGTTGTTGTTGTTACTGCTGCTGCTGTTGCTATTGCTACTAAGTTCTAAATGACATTTGACGCGACATCGTTCACTGGACAACCAAAAAAACATGTCCAAATAATACAGACGAAGCTAAAATACAAGAATTTTCCTATGTCTAGTTGAATGAAACATACCACCGTTTCGTGTAGCAGAACTATCCATTGTATCTTTGATTTTCATTAAAATACCAAATTATACACCACAATTCGGAATGCACGTAAACAGCACTTGAGGGGAAACACACAATACCGCGCGATTGATATCATCAATAAATTTCGTTGAATATTGCTCCGAATTTTTTTTTTCTCTTCTGAAATTTTCAACTTCTTTTCACTCGCACACACAACAACCACTTTTGTTTACCGATTTTCGTGTGTTGATTGTAATGCCGAATATGATGTCAGACCAGATACGTTTTATGCGGTGTGATTTTGTGATGATTTAAGCAATTTTCGTGTGGTCTTTGCCAAACAATACTAAATTGATTTGGACCTTTTTTTCCTCTTCTCAGCTCTTGCCAATTTTAAGCCAAACGTTTCTCACCGTTCCATAATCTACCGATTGAAAGAGCAAGAAAAAAACACACACAAACACTTCAGACCACCGCTAAACACAAGTTATTCACATTTTTTGCGCATTTTCTTCACACGTTTCGAATAGTCTTGTTTTTTCTTCTTATATATCTAGTTTGTTCGCTACGGCCAGCCGATTCACTATTTTAGTTGTTGTAAATGAGACAAGAAATGAACTGAGAGGAAAAAAAAATTCATAAATGAAACAGTACGCAATAACAAATCTATGTGCAAGGAGAGAAAAGAAAGGCGCTCTCAAAGACGTCAGTCAGAACGAACGGCAATTGAATACTGAACTACCATTTTGGATTTTTTTCCGCTCGTATTCCTTTCTTGGATATATTAAATCGGTGTGTTTGTTGTATGTGCATGTTATTGTTGCTATTGCTGTTGCTATTGCCATCACCGACGCAACCATGCAGTCGTCCCTTTCGTGCAGCGACCGATACAGATACGAACGCTGATGCCGCATTCAAATATGATTCATATACGAGACCTTTTTCTGATGTCGACCCATCGCCGTCGTCGTCGTCGTCGTTGTTGTTGTTCAACAAAGGGAGTGTGATTCGCTTGTGTCAGTGTGCGAACGAGACGGACTTTGACGCATTGTGCAAATATAATGACAAAACCCATCGAATGAGTTTGAATCATGGGCTGGGTTGCCAATTGCTGTTATTTGAATGAAATCCGATTGAATATTGAGAAGAAAATTATATGATAACAATGATGTTTAAAGTGAAATATAAATTCCAAAGAATTTCTCTTGAAAATAATAGACAATTCAAACAAAATTGGTAAATAATTCATTTTACAAAGTGAATGTCATTAGCTATGGCCACACCAAACCTTACGACTGCTATTTCATTCTCAAATCCTTACACTCGTCGTTGACAGCTGATGGTTTTTTCTGTGATGCCGGTCTCGAATGTGACACATTTTATAGCAGATGAATTTCAATGGTTTTCTTTTTCTTCATAAATTTGCGTTCGGTTTTATGATATCGAACGGAATACGGTCTTGAAAATTGATACAAATATTGATTGTGAATGAATGAATGAAAAACGGTCTTCGAAGTAGTTCGTTGTTTTGAGATCATATGATTCATTTCATCGTGTTTATTGATTAAAAAATTATTCATTTTTCATATTTCAAATTATTAATTCGGTTTTGAATTTTAATGCAGAGAATCATACGGTGAATAAATTAGAATTTCCTTCAAAAAACCTTTTCCTTATTGATTCGTTTGTCTGAAAATATGATTTATGCATTTCAAAAGAAGAAAAGAAATTTTTTTTTTGAACAAACAAAATGCAATTTGTATTTTATTTATTTTTGTGTCTATTGAAAATAGTTTCATGGCACATATTTTTCGGTCAAAAAACATAGTAGTACTTCTATGACACGAAAGTACTTCCAAACCAAAACAAATAATGCTGATCCACTAGTATTTAAAGTGAAGAACTACATCTTTTCGTAATGCTCAATTTTATGTTACAAAATATCGCTGATAACATTTGATGCTGTCGTTTTTACAATCTAAGGAATTTCCGTTCATTTCATCTATTCCACAGTTCTCTGTTGAGCCACACTTTAATCATTCCCTTCTTCAATTCTACAGCATCAAAATAAGAAACATTTCCGTTAGTTTCATTAGAAAATGATTTCATTTTAGTTGTCAACAACAAACAATTTCGAAGAAAACAACGAAAATCATTTCCAAGCTATTTTTTGTCCACGATTTAGGTTACTCATATTTCATCATTACTCATTAAAAAATGTACTCTCAACCTATTTTCTGCACCACCTCTATCCAAAAAATATTCAAATTAAAATCACAGTTGTTTCATTTGAAAAATAATAGTTCTTTCCTTTAATTAGTTTTAAACAATATATTTGTGAATTCAATCAGTATGTGCGAAGATCATCTTTAACCAAACTCTTTCTATATATTTCAAGTGAAAGTTCCAAATGTAACATCGGGCACAATGGATTTAATGAAAAATTCTACTTTGCTTTTTTCACCTGCACAAAAACCCAAATAATTAAAAATCAACAAATTTATTTCATTTTGTAAAAGTGACATTGATTCCAAAACTCGATTTTATCGTGTCAAATCAAACAGAATTTTTTGTCCAACCATCCCTTTGACGTCTGCCAGTTGAATCATTGCCTCTTTGTATTCGTCCAAGGAAATCATCCGATGGGCCGGTGGTGCAAATTTGCCGGATGCCATGAGCTCAAATAGTTCATTGTACATTTGTTGCCTTTCCTCAAGTGTGTGCTCTTTCGACCATTTTGATACCCAAAATCCGCGGAAGGCGATATCTTTGAAGATCAATGCTGCATTGGGGATGGTGAGTGGTTCTCGTGACATGGCTCCATATGTGACGAGTATTCCTTTATTATCCAAATGTCGCATCACATTGGTTGCACTTTTGCCACCAACACAATTGAATCCCAATTTTGGTGATGGCAATTTTTTCGATTTAAACAACGTGGTCGTTCGGATTTCTTCTTCAGTTAATACTTCGGTCGCTCCCAATGATTTCAGCTTATCTTTCAACTCATCAACGTTCGGTCTGTTGCGAATCACGTTTACCGACTGTAAATTCCATACTTTACACAGCTGAATGACCGCTTGGCCAACAGCGCTATTTGCTCCATTTTGAATGACAGTATCGCCGGCATTTAATTCAACGAAATCGCGTAGCATGCGATATGCGGTAGCTGGATTTACAGTGACCGTAGCTGCATTCACGTTATCAACATTCGACGGTACTTTCAGTACATCTTGACTAGGGAAAATCGCATGTGTTCGCCATGTACCGACCAAACCACCGATTGGGATTATTCTGTCACCAACTGCAACATTCTTTACATTTTTACCACATTCCAATACCTCTGCCACCGCTTCATTGCCCGGGATAAAAGGTAACTGCGGACTTTCACCGTATTTACCTATCAAAAACAGGGAAACCTTGTAAAGAATATTTTTAAAATTTGAATTCAAAAGTTACCCTGTATAATGTTAATGACAGCTGGATTGATTGGAGCGGCCAGAATTTTTACCAACACCTCATTAGCTTGCGGAGCATCCAATTGAGCTACAAATTTCTTCAATACCTTGTCCGGATCACCGAGTTCATCAATTTGCAGGAATGTCGATTTGACACTCATCGACCGCATATTTGCTGTAAGCAATTTAGACAAACCGATTCTACTGGTCGTAATCAGTTTTTGATACAACATTTTAACACTGAGCTACGTTTGGATCACAATAAAATACGTTTTCATCTAAGAGAATTTACTTTGAGTCAATTAAAATTACGATTTATTTTCACGATGCAAATGCTTTATTTGAACATGATGTATGACACTGACAGTTGCACTGACAGTTTATGACAAAAAGCGTTTTGAAATTATAGGACGAAGACAGTGCGTTATCAGTTTTGAAAATGTTTAACAAATTCGCAATATCAACGTTGTATTTCAGATTTTGATGTGCACTTTCACCTGCTGTTCGCACTCAGAATACACTAGACATTTATTTAGAATGTTTATTGAATTTTCGCTGTTTAAATCATTGCATTCTAACGGGAAATCGGTATTCACTGTACTTTGTAAGGTTTAATGCATGTAAACAATGTCAAAGCTTCTGTGATAAATTATAATGATCAATAAAATGATAAAAAAAAACACTTTTTCTACCACTGTGATGAGAATATTCCCCACTTTGTATATTTTTCAATACTAACACTGTGTTAGTAACACATAAAAAATCGAATTGATGAGTCTAATTAGACTTTCTGTAAACGTGTTTCCAATTTAAATGTTCACTTTTCAGTCAACACAAAGGTCAAGCGGCTTGAATTTCATTTAGCTACAATAGTGTTTACTTTGTATGAGGCTGATTCAGTATTGGTGAGTCGAAAAGTAACAAAAATGTTTTTATGTGACTGTTTTTCTGTAAAAAATCAATAAATTTTTAATAAAAATTGAAGTTTTGTCGTCATTTATCTTTAACCATTTCAAACTGTCTTCGTTTGTAAGACCTTTGAACACAAAATTGCAAAATAAGAACGAAAACAAACTATTTAAAGAGTCTTGCTATTGTGTTTATTTTGATATTGTTCATCGGCTGAATGTGCATGTTGACGTTTCTAACTTGACAGTTGAAATGTTGTTTTTATAGCAAGAAACGTGTGGTAATTTTGACAACTGATGCTATTTATACTGTAGAAACAAATAAAGGCAAACAAAATTGATGTTTTGTCCATCAATTAATTTTTTTTTGAGATATTTGGCGAAGTTTTATCAAGTGAAAAAGTGAATTTTTCGCATAATTTCGTCTATTGTGATTTGTTTTCTTTGTGCACTAACCTCAATTTAACTCTTTTAAATTATGATTTTGTGCTTTTGAAACGATCACAGTAATCGTACACACAGGTTATCAGTAAACAGCTGTCATTGCTTGGATCTCTCTGTGTATGAAAACCACTGATAAACATATCAGCTAAAAGTAATAAAGATTCGATCGAATCGATTCTGATTTTTTTTCTTACTTATTTTCACCTTTGTTTTTTCAATTGTTGTGCAGAAATGATTCATAAATTGTTGTCGCGACCAGTATTGAGTAAACTATTACAAAATAATATCAGACTAATGGCTACAGGCAAGGAATTGCCAGCTACCGATTTGGTGTTGGCCGAAGAAATCGGAGATAAGGGATTGTTGACCTTAAATCGGCCAAAAGCATTGAATTCATGCAATTTTGAGATGGTTAACAAAGTTGGAATTGCTTTGGACAACTGGAAGAACACAAAGTCAATAATAATCATCAAAGGCGTTGGGGGAAAGGCATTCTGTGCTGGAGGTGATGTAAAAACAATCGTCGAAGCTGACACTCCTGAAGTTGGCAAAAAATTCTTCGGAACGGAGTATGTTATGAACTACGACATTGGAACTTTGACGATTCCGTACGTAGCGTTGATCGATGGCATTACGATGGGTGGCGGTGTTGGTCTGTCAGTTCACGGGAGATATCGAATTGCCACGGAAAAAACACTGTTTGCCATGCCAGAAACAGCCATTGGTGAATAATTATGAAAATTTTTAAATTTATGCTAAACTCTATGTATGCCAAATATTAATCTCTTGGTGCATTTTCAGGCCTTTTCCCTGATGTAGGCGGTTCATACTTCTTGCCACGTCTTCAAGGCAGACTTGGTTATTACTTGGGATTGACCGGATTCCGACTAAAGGGTGAACAGACTTTGCTGATGATACACAAAAAAAAAAAGTTTTCATTTTCCGTTTTCTTTTTCCATAGGCCAAGATGTGTTCCATGCTGGCGTTGCCACACACTACTGTGAAAGCGCTAAAATTCCCGAAATCGAAAAAGCCTTGCTCGAACTGAAAAACACTAAAGACGTTGATAATGTTATCAACGATTTTTGTCCGAAGCCTAAATCAGAATTCGTATTAGCAAAACATCTCGACCAAATCAATAAGACATTTAATGCACCTACTGTGGAGGAAATTTTAAGCAATTTGGAAAAGGATGGCAGCGAATGGGCACAGAAAACAATTAAAGTACATTCATTTTATAGTCATTTATTATATTTTATTTTTCACATAGAAAAATGACGTATCCAACTTGAATGGAACGATTTAGATTTGCCAGAATTGAGTTCCACTTTGATTTCTTATTTTTGAGCAATTTTTTTTCATTTGCAGACTCTTCGAACCGTTTCACCAACCAGTTTGAAAGTGACACTCCGTCTACTCGATCTCGGATCGAACTTTTCGTTAGGCGAATGTTTGCAGATGGAGTATCGCTTGGCGGTGCGTTGCGTTGAAGATAGTGACTTCCATGAAGGTATGACATTTTCATGAATAATCAGAAATAATAAGGGATATTTTCATCAATACATCAACTAATCTCTGTATTAATTGCAGGTGTTCGTGCTTTACTCATTACAAAGGACAATAATCCGAAATGGAATCCACCACGCATCGAAGATGTCACCGAAGAACGAGTTAAATCATTCTTCCAACCACTTCCAAACAACGAAGACTTGAAAATGTAAGACTTCAGTGCTTGAATACGAATATGGAATGGAAAAATAATCAATTTGATTCTTACATTTCAGAAACGTGAAATTGAACTCAAAATTGTAAACACGACCTAGTCCAATGGCCAAAATTAAATCAAAATCCCGACCATGAAAAGAAAACAGTTCTAAACTGCTGCTATTGAATCATCAAGAATGTTGTAAAAAAATCTCGTACAAATAAAAATTTTATATTTTCAATTTTACTTTTGTGTCCATTTATTGTATAATGGCCATTTTTCACTATTATTATATGTATTCAAATTATGTGATGAAATTTATTTAAACAAAATTATCGAAAATTGTATTGCCTATTTCAATTGAAATGTATTCAATATTCATTATTGCTGTTGTAAATTGGAAAAGCTATAAAACGTTTGTGAAAATCGGATAACAAAAACCAATCCTATGGCAATCAAAAGCCTATGCTTTTCATATTGTTTACATTGTCGATTGATTATGACGTTTCTCTGTTGTGACAGATCAAGTGCATTTGACATACATTCGAATTGAATTTAAATTTTGCAGTTCAGAGAATGACGTTGCAAAACGTGTTTTATTCGAACCTTGCCCCTTGGTTTAGATTCTTTGGGAAGGCGAAATTGAATTCGTTGGGATTCTGAAATAAGTGTCTATAATATGTTTTTTTCTAATAAATACTAACGTGTGCAACAATTTTTATTTATTGGTAACGTGAAAGAAAGTAGGTAGTTGTTTCAAGGTGTTTATTATCGTGACTGTTGCATTTCTTATCATTTCATCTTCATGAAAATGGTTTTTGTTCGCAAAATAACAATAATTGATACAGAAATATATTTTCTTTAGGAATGATAGCAAAATTATTCAATCGACCAGTATGTGCAATACTGAGAATAAGCACAAGATTCAAAGCTACAGAAGCAAATAACTATGTTGTAGCCAAGGAAGTAGGTGATAAAGGGATATTAACACTGAACCGACCAAATGCGTTGAATGCAATCAACATTGATATGCTCAAAATACTTGCGGCAACAATACAGAAATGGAGTGACACCAAATCTTTGATAATTGTCAAGGGACTTCCAGGAATAGCATTTTCTGCAGGAGGTGATTTGATTGGATTCGATGTAAACAAAGACAATCCTAACTATGGAAGAGAGGTTTGGCAAACCGAATTGGTAATGAATCACACGATTGCAAATATGAAAATTCCATACGTTGCGCTCATCGATGGTGTCACAATGGGCGGAGGTGTAGGCATTTCAGTTTATGCTAAATATTGCATTGCTACGGAAAATACCCTATTCGCAATGCCAGAATCAGCTATTGGTAATCGAACTAAGCAGATTAAATTCATGGTGATAATTCAAATTAATCGCAATCCATTCAAGGTCTTTTTCCTGATGTGGGCGCGTCGTACTTTTTCTCACGGCTTCAAGGGAAACTTGGCTATTACCTGGGATTGACTGGTGCTCGATTGAAAGGCAGGACATTCTAACAGCTCTATTTTGCTTTGAAAGAATTTTTGCTCAGTACTTCTGCATATGTTCCCTTAGGCCAAGACGTGTTACATGCTGGTCTTGCCACACATTACTGCCGAAGTGCTGAACTTCAGAAAATGGAGAAGGCACTACTAAAATTGAAGGATACTAAACACGTCGACGATGTCATCAATGAATTCTGTCCAAAGCCCAATTCAGAATTCAGCCTATCTAAAAATATCGATCAAATCGATAAATGTTTCAACGCGTCCTCTGTTGAAGAAATTCTAGACAATTTAGAGAAGGACAACAGTGAATGGGCTAAACAAACAACCAAAGTAAGTTTACTTGAGATTTAAAATGTTATTTTTTTTTAATTTGAATAAGTTCGATCATATGATTTTCTATTCTAAATTTGAAAACAAATCATTACAGACTCTTCGACAACTCTGTCCAACCAGTGTGAAGATTATGTTCCGTAATTTGCAACTCGGTTCAAATCAATCATTTGCCGAATGCTTGCAGATGGAATATCGTGTGGTACTTCGTGTGATTGCCGGCAAAAATTTTATTGAAGGTTACTTCACATTTAAAAAATTAAATCCAGTCCATGACTGTGTGAACATTTTATTTTCGTCTCTGGCTTGAGATTATTCTAGTAAAAAGTAATATTTTGTGAATTTCATTTTCATCTGCCAATTGCAGGGTGTCGTGCTTTGCTAATCAGAAAAGATAAAAACCCGAAATGGGATCCATCACGTATCGAAGATGTCACCGAGGAAGAAATATTGGCGCTTTATGAACCATTGCCAAACAACGAATACGTGAAATTGAAAGACTCCAGTGCTCTAAATCAATATGGAATCGAAAAATAATGTCAATAAGAAACTATGAATATATGTGAATATTCTGAAAATAGCTAAAAAAAAGCACCGAAAAAATGAATTTTTCTGTTATTATTTTTGTGGAGGGTCTTGTATTATTTCGGGGAGTTTTTTTTATTTTACTTTTCCGCAAACAAAGTTTGTTAGGAAAAGGATTTTGGGAAGGGTTTTTAAAATAATTAATTTGATTTGTTTATTTCAGAAACTTGTTCTTCTAATTTGACTCGAAATTGTAAAACAAGAAAAAAGTTTCATAAATTTTATTATAGATTTAATTAAATAATTTATTTATTTATTGATCTAATGCAGATCCTTTACAATAATCGTCTAACTTAAATCGTTTTTAAATATTTGTACGTGAATTTAATATCATCAAGAACGATGTAAGAAAAATCTAGTATGAATAAAATTGTTATGTTTCGAAGTTTCACTTTTATTTTTTTTTCTCGTTTGATAATAACTTTTTATCTCACCATTTATTATATCTATTAAAATTATATGATGAAAGATGTAAAAAATGAACATTTTATTGCCTTTTTGAATATTATATTTTAATTATTGCTAATATTTAAAATTGTATTTTTTTTTCAATTTGAAACATGTGGAATCACAAACAATAGATTACATCACCATTTTAAAAGCAATGGGTATATTCATAAATAATGTTTACATTGTCGGCTGATCATAACGTTTATCTGTTGTGACAGTTCGTGTAGAGTGAGTGTGTTTGACATACATGCGAGTCAAACTCAAATTTAGCATTTCAGTGGATGACGTCTTGCAAATTGTGTCTTATTTGAACTACAGGTTCAAGGTAGTTGATCTAGAATCTTTGGGAAAGTGAAATTGAATTTGTTTTGATACTAAAATTTGTGTCTAGAATTTGATTTTTCAAATAAATACTAACGTGCGTCTCAATTGATATTCATTGTTAACGTCAAGAAAATTAGGTAGTAGTTTCAAGGTGTTTATCATCGTGACTGTTGCATTTCTTTAATAAAATTAATAAATATTTCAACGCATCCTCAGTTGAAGAAATTCTAGACAATTTAGAGAGGGACAACAGTGAATGGGCTAAACAAACAACCAAAGTAAGTTTAGGTGAGATTTAAAATGTCTATATTCTTTTTTAATTTGAATGGTTTCGATTATGTTTTCGAATTAAATTTTTAAAAAATCTGTACAGACTCTTCGACAACTCTGTCCAACCAGTGTAAAGATTATGTTTTGCAATTTGCAACTCGGTTCGAAGCTATCATTTGTCGAATGCTTGCAGATGATGGAATATCGTGTGGTACTTCGTGTGATTGCAGGCAACAATTTTAATGAAGGTGAGTCAATATTCAAGCCATTAAATTCCAGCTTTTGAGACTTTGTGAACTCAAGAGTATCTCAAGAGTATTTGAATAAAGAGATTTTGTAAAAATATTTAAAAGAATCTCTCTAAATTTCATTTTTATCTGCCTATTGCAGGGTGTCGAGCTTTGCTAATCAGAAAAGACAACAACCCGAAATGGGATCCATCTCGTATCGAAGACATCACCGAAGAAGAAATATTGCCGCTTTATGAACCATTGCCAAATAATGACGAGCTTCCATTGTAATTATCAAAATGCGTGTCTTTCCACTTTAATTCTGTGAAGCAATATGCCTTTTTATTGCTGCCAAAGTCGATTCAAAATGAAGAAAATAAAATGCGTCGATTTGTTTTTGGTAGATTTATTCAGATGTTGTTCTTTTGAATGCTTGTGGTGATTTGATGTGTGAATGTTCCTTCGATTGTGTGTTTGAGTGTGGAAGCGTGAAATTTTGCGTGATGGAATCGAGAGAAAGGTATTGAAACAGGCGAATGTTTGTCAAACATGAAGTTTTAATCGGCCAACGAGAACTTCTCGACGCAATAATTCAACTTGAATTTACGTGCGATTCAACCTACGTTTAGACAAACACTCAAATCAGCCGTCTAAACTTTAGAGCTAGCCAATTCGAGTTTTGCGATGTTTCACTTTTATTTCATTCAAAAAACATACTACATTAGCTGTCTAACTGTAGCGCTGGCCAATTCAGAGAGATTGGTGCAAAACAAAAGGTGCACAACTTGTGCTGATACCTATGGAAACTTTCCGTGTATCGAGTATCAATGCGAACTCAGATTAAATTGCGCACAACTTGTACTGCCAATTCAATAAGGAACTGTCCTGTGCTGAGACTCACGAAGAACTGAAAACTGATTTTGATTCTCTCTCTGAATTGTCACTGTGTCACAGCGCTTACATTTGTATTGGTATTTTAGCCCGAATGTTTTTTACACGCAAACACACAAATGAACATCAGTTGAACCGCAGAACGCAATTTCACAACAAAAAAAACTATACCTTCATCCATGTTAAGCGGTTGCACTGCCCAAGCGCAACTCCACACTTAGCTTCTAAATGTGACACCGTAGTAAGTGTGGGCATACGTTTTGCGAATAAGCGACAAAGAGAATGGAAACAAGTGCGCGTGTGGTAGTGAGTAGCCTGATGCGATGTTTCTCAATGTAGCGACTAATACACGCGCACTTGTTTCCATTCTCTTTGTCGCTTATTCTCAAAACGTATGCCCACACTTACTACGGTGTCACATTTAGAAGCTAAGTGTGGAGTCGCGCTTGGGTGGAATGACTGTGTTGAAATGCGTTCAGCGGTTTGACAGATGACAGAACGAAAATGAGTAAATTGAATGAGCAAATTTGAATGAGCGAATTTGAACGATATGAAACGAATGTGAAATTGAAATGAGTACATTGAAAGAACTTAAAACTAATTTTCAATTTGTTTCAAACATTTTATGCGTACCTCATAATCGGATTGAACAATGTTGGTGAAAAAAGCAATAAATGTTCTTCATCCGAATGATGTTAATGACCAATCAAATTATTGTTTGAAAATGTATTAAAAAAATGAATTCATATCTTTTAGCCGGTTCAAAACAATTTTACTAATTGTTTTGCCATTGAGAATAAGCGAGGCAAAATTACATACGGCGCAGTAAATCTCCAATTTAAAGAGACTCAAGCTAAACAAATGAAATATTTTCTTCGGTCAAATTCAAAAAGTGTAGAACTGAAGAGCATAACAACTCAACAACTAAACAGAATTTCCCTACATTTTGTGTAATATGAAGTTTTGTTGTTATTTTATTCAATCAATGAATTGCATATTATCTATCTAACAAAAAACTGTTGATTGTGTTTCTATAAAAGCTGGTAATAATGTTTTATGGTAAAATTCCAGACAAATAAAACGTGTGTATTTGAGACTATCATTTCGTTGACAATGCTCTGCTTACGAAACAATGTTGAAAATGGGTCTAACAGCATATGCTGTCAAATACGTTCAAAGCGATAGTAATTTTTATGACATTTCATAGTTCAATATATTAAAATTCAGTATATGACGATCGTTATCACTACAATCAATTTCATGTGTTATTCAGCAAAGGAGAAATTACATACTCAGTATATATTTCAAGGGCACACAAGCGTGACGTTACTACAGCAAAGTTCGTTTTCCAGCTCACCGCGATTTAATAAAATGTTCAAACTCTCTTTTCTTCTGTTGCTGCGGTCGTGAAATGAGGTTAATCGCCATTGAATTCCATTGAATAAATGAATGAAAATTAACCAGGTGAGATTGAAACAAAACACCGAGCTTCCAATTGTTCTATTCATTCGCCGTTGGTTGGTTGAATCGAAGACTTGAAGAAAGTTATTGTCAAGAAAATCAGAAAGCATTTTTTTTTAGTTTTATTTGACAAGTGAGCAATGGATTTACCAAAAACTGACTCGGTGCTGGCCGCAGAAATAAATAACAAAGGCATACTAACGTTAAATCGACCGAAAGTTTTAAATGCCGCCAATCATGAAATGGCCGAAAAAGTATTTATCGCACTAAACAAGTGGCAAAACACCAAATCGATGATTATAATCAAAGGTAGTGGCGATAAAGCGTTTTGTGCCGGTAGTGACCTCAAAAAGTTGATTGAACCGAGTGAATACGATATTAGTATAAAGTTTTTCAAAGTGGAATACACCGTCAATTTTATGATAGCAAATTTGAAAATTCCATATGTATCGCTAATCGATGGCATTATCATGGGCGGCGGCGTGGGTTACTCTGTTCATGGGAAATATCGCGTGGCAACAGAACGAACGGTTTTCGCAATGCCCGAAACTATTATCGGTGCAATGCCGGACATTGGCAGCTCGTACTTTTTGCCACGACTTCAAGGAAATCTCGGCTATTATCTTGGTCTAACGGGCTCCAGATTACATGGTATTGAACAGTGTTAGGAATAGTAAACCTGTTAACATTTTTGATTTGTGTGAATGAACTATTTTACGATGCAATAATTTTATTTTACCGGAAGGTTAAGTCTCATTTTACAACTTTTTTTGTTTGCTAAGGTATCGATGCGTTGCATGGTGGCATAGCAACACATTACTGTGAAAGTGCACAAATTCTGGAGCTGGAACAAGCGTTAATTAACTTGGAAAATGCGAATGATATCGAAAAGGTTCTTGATCAATTCTGCCCAAAAATCAACAAAGAATTTAGTTTAGCCAAATATCTCCCGCAAATAAACAAGTGTTTCAATGCCTCAACGATAGAAGGCATTTTGAAAAACCTAGAAGAAGATGGTACAGAATGGGCGAATGAAACCACCAAGGTAATGCTAACAAATGTCTTTTGACTGAGAGAAAAATGAATCGAAAAAAGTAAAACGATTATTTAGAAAATTATAAAGTCAAGAAGAAGTCATAGTAGTTTTCCACACTGAAATGCGTTCAAGACGTCAAAAAAAACTCTGATTATTTCCAATTTTCAATCGTTAGGTTCTTCGAACGGTTTCACCAACAAGTTTGAAACTAACTCTTCACCAACTACAGCTGGGCGCCACTTATACACTCGGAGAATGCTTGCAAATGGAATACCAATTGGTTCATCGTATTTTGAAACACAAGGATTTTCACGAAGGTGTGTCAAACACATGACGACTTTTGAAAACTTTTTATGCTAAAAGCATCATTAGTTTGGGTGAAAATCAACCTGTTCCATACTCTATATTTCAGGCGTTAAAGCGTTACTAGTTCGCAAAGACAACAAGCCAAAGTGGGATCCATCGCGAATCGAAGATGTGTCCATTGACAAGCACGTTTTACCATTTTTCGAGCCCTTGCCCAACCATGATGAGCTGCCAATGTATGTGACTCTTATTGATATGACGAAATTTTTCATTTGATTTTTGGCATTTATTTCTTGCAGAAGCGTTAAACTGGTTTCCAAATTCTAGGGTCATTGAAATATGCTGTTATTGCGGAAATGAAGAGGAAATCATTCCAAAAATATAAATGAACGTTCAAAAATACGAATCCGTTTTTAAATAAGATAATGATCAATTAATTTTGTTTATATAAATTGGGTTATTATACCAAAAAAAACACGATTTTGTTTGAATTTTTTGTTTCTGTACTCCTTGAAGGGCTGGATTGGCGAACATTGAATCTGTTTTCATGTCAAAACAATTGTAGGTATGTTATTGAACCTAACTATGGAGAAGTATTATCAACTTGAGAGCAAAGCTTCAATCAAATGATACAATAAGATAAAAACAAAATAGAATAATTGATAAGACTGCCTCCGTCACCTAAATTTTACAGCACGTTGAAGATTTTTGTAGTCGCAAAAGTATTCGGAAATGTTGACAATAACGAAGAAAAGAGTTTTGACCGACCTCTAAAAATACCTACTTCCTCTTTCCAAATATAAAATATTAGTGAGAAACTTGTCTCAATAGATTGTAAAAAGACAATAAACGAAAACAACGTTTGCAATTGCTAATGGATGTCATAGAACTTAGCTGTGTGTGGTGACGCTTATCGAAAATTGTTTACGTTTTTCTGTTTGAAACTGGGAGAGTGGCGTGCGTGCGGCATATGTATCACCAACTCGATGTATGGATCAAATGCGGAGCGTATAAAAGGCACGCGCCAAATAGATCCTGATCATTTTCAGTTTGAGTTTTCGCGGATAAAGTCATTTTTATTTTGGAGTGAAATATGTTAGTAAAAAAGATATTTTTGCCATTTCGCACGCGGTTTGAAAGATTGATAACAACACAGTTTTCCGAAAGAAGAGGCATTTTAACCAAGGAAGTCAATGATAATGGATTGATCATTTTGAACCGGCCGGAAAAATTGAACGTTGTGAACTTGAGGATGATTGAAAATCTTGGCGTCGTGTTGAATGAATGGAAAGACACAAAATCGCTGATTATTATTAGAGGCAACGGAAATAAGGCATTTTGTGCCGGTGGCGATGTAAGAGATATTGTCCAAAATGGCGCATCACACGGTATGAAAATTGCCAAAGCGAATTTATTGAACAAACATTTGATCAGAAATTTAAAAGTGCCATACGTCGCTCTTATGGATGGCATTACAATGGGAACCGGCCTTGGACTATCGATTCATGGAAAATATCGGATTGCCACCGAGAATACAGTTTCAGCTATGCCGGAGACGATTATAGGTTGTTTAATTTTATAATCCGAATTTGGATTAATGAATAAAATGAATATTAATTCGAAATTTACCGAATTTGTTTTCAGGATTCCTTCCAGATGTTGGCGCTTCTTACTTCTTACCAAGACTCAGAGGGAAACTCGGCTATTATTTGGGGCTAACCGGGTCAAAACTTAAAGGTTAGCTTCTTTGACACTTATTTAATTTTTTATTTTTTTTTATTGTGATTTCCCAATGGCGAAATATTTTTCTCAATTATAAATGCAGGTCAAGACGTAGTGCATGCTGGAATCGCAACGCATTTTTGTGACAGTGAAAAAATAAAAGAGCTGGAATATAGTTTGCTTCATCTAAATAATCCCAGAAACGTTGAAAGCGTCATAAATGATTTCTGTCCAAAAATTCAGTCCGAATTCAGTTTGGCGAACAATCTCGATCAAATCAATGAATGTTTCGATGCATCTTCAGTTGAGGAAATTCTGTGTAAATTAGAATGTGATGGTAGTGATTGGGCGAGAAAAACGACAAAGGTTGATATTCGATTTTCATTTTGAACTAACAACTTATTTTGAAAACCATTTTTACTTCTTGTTTTTCTCGAATTTTTTTTATTCAACTTTTTTAATTAATTTTTTCTTGGTCAAAATGTTCATTCCCCATAGACTATGCGTGCTTTATCGCCAACAAGTTTGAAAGTAACACTGCGTCAATTGAATTTGGGAGCAAATTTGTCACTTGAAGAATGCTTGCAAATGGAATACCGGCTAATATTCCACTTCTTCCAAGATAGCGATTTCTATGAAGGTGTTCGCGCCTTGCTGATTGCCAAGGACAAACATCCGAAATGGAATCCACCCAGCATCGAAGATGTTCCCACCGAACAAGTTCTGTCTTTCTTTGAACCTTTACCCGACAACGATAGACTGCCAATGTAAGTTTTTTTTTTGTATTTTGCTAATAACCCATTTTCCGCTGAACGTTTGATTTTCCATATGAAAAGTTCGATTTCTCAAACACTTGGTAGAAAGCGGGTTAATAATAAAATGATAATTTGATACTAATTTCGAATCAATGCGAATGTTCAATGGATTTTTGTTCAATTTCAGCAAAGAGAAATTCCGATCTCATCTGTAGAAGTTCAATGACCAAAGTATTACAAAACTATAACAATAAGATTTCTATATTGACTCTATTTGAAGTGCCATGTACTGTTTGCTCATATTTATTTTATAGCCATGGCTATTGTATAAGAAAAATAAGGAAATAAAATTTGAAACAAAAAAAACTGTAAACTAAATTCTCACCATAACAAAAACCGATAGTGAGCTAGCAAACATTACTCACATTTAAGTAATGATAAGAGCTACTGTAGGATTTATCATCAACTGCCGATGAAATATTTCGAAAGTCTAGGCCCTTTCCGGGCACATTTGTTATTAGGCACGGAAATATCTTGGCCTTGTGAAAAAGTAATCATTTGATTCGATCGTCCACATACTCACTCAAATATGTTTCTGATAAAATCTATTGATTTATTTCCACTCACATTTTTCCACCCATTCAATTTTCATACGTTATGTGGAAAATTGTAAATTTGACCACTTCAATGAATATATTCTGAGCTGAAGAAATACTTTCTGTCGCAATCAGTCACGAGAACATACACAAACGAATGCACGAAAAACTGTAAAAAATCACAAAATTTTATGGTCATCAGATTTCAAACATAAGAACGATTCGATTTATTGTTTTATTTCATACACATTGATTTGTTTCTAATTTATAATTTCTGCGAAATTATGACAAAAATAAGAAAAAATGGGCAAGTCAATTCACAATGGTATTCAATGTCAATGCAATCGACTCGAGCATTTGATTTAGTATTTTGTTTATCCAGATGTTTTGATTTATTTCTTTCCCCATATCTCACAATGTCATTTCGTATTAAAAGCAAAACAAAAACCCATGATCCATAAAACGAAATTTTATTGTTATGTTCGGCGATTGATGATTTTTGCTGAACAGTTTTGCCCGGGGTCGTTTTCGTCGCGTTGTTCGACAAAAAAAAATTGGTTGTCGATAATGAAAAAGTAGAAATGTCTTAAGTCGTTTAAATAGTTTATTTGTTTCATCATCGTGTTCAAAGTTGAAAGAAGGTTGACAATTTCGATACTTATTTGTTGTTATTGTTTCTTTAATGTTTCGACGGTATGCTTTTTATTTAGATTTCATCAGTTACTCTTATTTTCGATAATTATCATTTTTTTTTGTTTTTCTCTTATTGTTGTTGTTGTTGTTGTTGCTTGCAAATTTAATTTAATACATCTGGTGAAAAGGTTGGTATTTTAAAAAGTTGCCGGTAAGTGTATGGTTGCGCGCGTCGTTGGCAAGAATCCCATTTTGTTATTTAGTCAATGTATTGAGCCAACCAGCGGAAACCTTCACCATAACCTTGACGCTTCAAAACCGAGCACATGTACAATTCTAGTGGACGGCCTGGAAGATCGGAACGTGGAACATTGCCCTGTTTGATGGATAGAAAATGTTTGATGGAATTAATAAAGAGTTGAAAGAGAGCCAAATCGGTTTGAATCGATTCAAGTGGTGTGATTCTCTTTAGCGAACTGCTTGATAACGTGGAGTGGGCGATAAATGTTTTTACTTGGTGTGAATGATTTTTAATATCTCAAAATTGCCCCTAAAGTTCTGCTTTCAAATGGCATTTTCGCTAATCAACAGTGCCAAAGATTCAAACGTAATATCAGATGTGCATACCTTTCCGGTGGTTAATTGATATAGGCCGAAGAAATTACGAATTTCATCTTCGCTGGCTGCGCCTGGTTTGTCGATTTTGTTGCCTAAGATAAGAACCGGACAGTTTGACAATGATTCATCCGTCAACAATGAATCCAGTTCGTTTTTGCTCTCTTGGAAACGTGAACGATCCCAAGCATCCACCAAGAATACAATCGAATCCACAGCCGGAAAATAGTCTTTCCATACGCGACGAGCTTGTGTGTGACCTCCCAAGTCGAATGTTGTGAATCTCATGTTACCGATCGACAATTCTTCCGAGGCTGATTGAATCACGGAGAGAAAACAAGGCAATTGATTATATATCAATCAAAGAGAAATCGAAAACGTCGCTGTTAATTTGACTTACTCGGATGCAATGTGGGCACATGTTGTGCCAGTCTATCGTCCTTAAGCATATGTAATAGTGTGGTTTTGCCCGCATTGTCTAACCCCAAAAACAGAAGTTTACCAGATTTTTTGTACAAGCCTAAAAATGATGCAGAAAATGAAACACGAAATTCGATTAAATCATGATTTTCAATTGGTTCCACTAGATGATATATAAAATGATCAAATAAATGATAAAAGTAAATTCTGAGGGCGGTCAATGTTCCGAGATAAAAATGACATTTGTGAAAATAACTGCAATCACAGTTTTTGTACAGTATTCACTTGAGCTGTTGTGGCGAAACGGCGTGACTTTAAAGCTGTTTCTCTTAATCGATACTACGCTTCAACCCGATAATAATCACTACGAACAATAAAGATAACACGTATTGTTTCCGACTGTCTGATTATACACGAAACAGCTGTTAGACACACAGCAACGTCACCGCGATCTGAATTTAACATGCGAACGAATTTGCCCATTGTAAATTCACTTGAAACGTGTGTTCGTTTCAAACAAAGGAAAACGTTCATTAGCTCAGCTCAGAATGTTACTATTTTTAATTCAACAAAACACAACGTAAATACAACTGATGTGTGTCCCCGTTCAAAGATCGGACACAATGATGCTGAGTGTAAAATGTGTAAAATATATTTACCTAGATAACTTAAAACGTTACTGAACCAGTCCCAAAGAAACATGTTTATATGTTTTGTGTATTTGTTGTGAAAGGATACAAATTTTTTTAAAAGTTTTTTATTAAAAACAGTGAAACTACGACGTTTTTAAGTTCACTTTGGTATTTGTTTAGTTAGGATCTGCAAAGAGAGAAAGAAATTGGTTGGATGAGCAAATATTTTGAGTTAACACAAAGGCCACAAATAATCAAATGCACAGAAGTTTTGTTGCACACAATCGGCAATAGCAAATGGAATGTGTAATCAATCTGTTAAGTAGTCACTTTGTGGATGGAATGGCGTTTTAAAATTAAAATGATCGCAAATATCATACGTCATACGGTCAAACCGATTACACTTCACACACCGTGTTACCCAGTGCTATATTTTATGGGAGACAAATGAAACATATATCGCTTACAAAAACTTGAAAGAAATTACATGCGAAGATACACAACACATTGACAACCGACTAATGTTCACATTTAACGTTTCAATGCTTTTGTCGTTTGACAAGTTTTCGTGACTCAGCTAATCATATGCAATCATTGATTTAATAACATTCGACGCGTTGTATCTCTCTTTCAGTATGTTGGTGTGCGCCGCATGCTTGTGTTAGTGTCGGTGTGTGAGTGAGTGGCTGTGCTTACTGTGACAGACAGACAATAAGTTCCACATTTACACATCAAAGGATTTCCATGGCTACTTAATACATTCATTTTACTTTGTTCTTCTTCATCACCAAACTTTAGACAGAATAAAATTCATTAAGGCGAAGAACGACAAAAAAACAATATGAACAACACAGTGCAATATGATCGAAAGAGTTTCAGAAAATGGTAATGTGCCAAATAAAATTCGCGGTTTTTGCATGTTTGATTGGCGTGATTTAATAGATTTTTTTAAAAAATGATAACTCCAGTATTAGTGATTGTATTGCCTTCAGCAAGATTCTAGCTAAGAACTACCCAAAAAAATCGATTGAATGCAATTGTTTTGGTTTGATATCCTCAAAAGATTTGTTTAATTTTACTGTGGCTACTATTTTTCCAACGGTAAGACGCTATCACCAATACCGGGCGAGTATTAACAAAAAAGAACAAGTCCATTTTGATGAAAATCCATTGAAACACACAAAATACCATTCATCTCAGCCACTTCGATATTGTCTGACTTGTGTTGCTCACTGTAATCAAAAATACGACACGAATGTAGACCCTGACTTTCGGTCAGTCATTCACATTTCATGTGATATGGCATTTTCAATACCAGAAATGCTTTTGGTTTTTGATGAACGAGCGGAATAAATTCGTTTGATTGTCAAGGCAAAAACATTTGTTTTTACATTCGCTCATGGTTCAAATCCAATAGATGTAGCGTTATTCATAACGCGATGCACTATTTATAGCTGAATAAGAAAGCAAATCGAATGAAATTTTAATTAACACAAAATTAGCCACAAATTTTCTTCATATTTTATTTGGATCGATGACGACTAATAATCACGGGTTTTCTTGTTCAATCCGAATACACAGCGATTCCGACTAATTTGCCGTAAATGTTGCAATCGCCCCGCTCCGTAACACACATTCCGACCACTCCATAATCTGTCTCGATAATCGAAATCACTGGAAAAAAATATCGGCGACCAAGGTACTTTTGCTAATGCCTTTTCTGTGTCACAGAAAATTGCATTTTCTTTCTTCCAACATTTCTCACACAAATTTACTCGTTTTTTTCACATTACCGTTTTAGTTTACACAGTTTTTCGGTTGCTATTGCAAATATTCACAGGCAACAGAAAAAAAATTGGAAAAAAAACTTTTTCGAGCGAATACGGAACAAAAAAACACTAGCAGCTTAAATGACTTTCGCTCAAAAAGAAGATATTAGCCAAGTTGTATGATTTGCGAGACGTCATCTACGTAAGGTTGGCAATACGCACGTCATTCTTCCATTTGTTTCGAAAGCATTACGAAAATGGACAACCATTGTTCATCTTAATTTTTTCCGACACCGCGACAAACCTGACGCTACAAAGCTTGATTGAAAAAACATCGTTTGAAATGCGGTAGTTTTTATTCTTTTACGCATATTCAAGATGTTTTTAAATGAAGTGATGATTTTTTAATGAAAATAATTCAAAATCAATTTTATAATAATTCTTTGAGGGCGATTTATAGTTAAAACCGATTTTAATTTCAAGTTGACTTCGAACAGAGACTGCCAACTCACTACGTATATGCAGTGGAGGAATATATGGCGGAACTTCAATGGAACTTTTGAATGGAGGCGCCGCATTTTTTGTCCGCTCGTATGGCTAACTTGTATACAATATCCAGAAAAAATGAGTCAAATTTGATGAAAAAGAATCTTATCGATTATCACTGTGCAACAATTTGAAAAAAAAAGTCAAACGAATTAGACTTGGTATAACCCCAACTTGGTATTGCAAGTTATTGTAATTTTTCTTCAACACGGGTTTTCAGCAATGATAATTAGTGACAAATTAGTGCAAAAATCGACATGTCATCTTTTGGGGAGCCATAAATTTCCAACTGGACATCATAGGTAGATCGTATTAGCCATATTATTTGGCTGTGAACATAATCTTTATTGAAGCATAAAATATAAACTGAAATATGGCCGTTTTCATGACTTAATTTGGCCAAATGTCTACGAAACGCTCAAAAATTGGTCCAAAACTCGAAATTCCCCTACAAATGAGCAGTTTTTCTCACTAAACTAGCTAAAAAATCAAGTTCATCTCATCCGCAGAGACACTTTAATGAAAATCCAAATGAAAAATTATGTAAGATATTCAGCTATTTACATGTAATAGGCCAAAAATATCAACAAATTGACCATTTTTGGTAACAAAGAGTGATTTTGAGCCCAAAAGGTAGATAGAACATGATTCTTCTGGGCTTATATGTTGAGCAAAGTTGTTCAATTTTACGTTGGCTACAAAATTGTCAGAAATATTGATCAAGAAAAATGGACACACTGCGAGTTATGGTTGAAAAATTGAAAAAATCGGCCATTTTTTCGACATTTTGTTCCATTGCACCTACTAGATGGGATTTTTCATGTATAGTTTGTTCATTAAATTTGTTTATTGGACTCTTTGCTACAACTTTTCTTGAAAAAATAAGACGACATCTCCAACTTTGGATAAGTTATTGACCAAAAAGTGATGACATCAAAATTTCGAAAATCATAAAGAAACAAAAAAACTACGCAGGCCAAAAAAATAAGAACCTGAGCCAAATCGCAAAACCCAGCGAGGGTTTTGCTATGCCATAGGAGTACTTTACTGCCATAATGGTCGTTCCCAATTACTTTTTTAAACCAAAATTTGTCGCACCAGTGTAATTTATGTAATAAATTTAAAATGAAAATGCTCTTTTTTTCTTCAAATTATCACAAATATATTTGAATAAGTGGTCAGATCAAACAATTTATTTTATGTTTTTTGTTTTGATGGTGTAGCAGCTGGTAGTTTGGCTTCAATTTACGGTAAGGTAGTATCGACAGAATATTTCTTGCCCTGACAAGTGAGTTTAATTTGGAAGAAATTTTCCCACAATTTCTCCCAAATATCAGCTTCACAAATTTTCTGTTCTTTTGCTGGATTTTCCACTTGAACATTCAACACATATCGTGTGCCAGCTACGGTTTGACTTTTGCCGCTCATAATCCGTTTAAAAATGAGATCGAAATCGTCGTGTTTTTGGCTCAATTTCCCAAATGAATGTGTCAATTTTAGAGGTAATTCGTGGAGGTCTTTTTCATCGAGATCGCTAAAACCACCTACTATTGGATATTCTTCTGCGGTTTCTACGGGATATTCGGTGGCATTCATGCCACACAATAGCGCAAAAAACAACAAAAAATTCAACGCAAACATTTCGTTTTAACGCAAACCGATCGATGTCAGCCTTTAACGTAAAATGATATAAGTATACTGAATCGCATCTTCTTTTGAATGCATACTTTGTTAATTGCGACTGAAGATACTTGATTTGATATGTGTTGCCTTTCTTATAAAACCGGTTATGTAGCTCCATATTTGACTCCTTATATTGGTCCCCAATACAGCAAAACTTGCGAAAAAGTGGAACCCGTTAAACGGGAAAATCTTGCGAATCGCGGAAAAAAATCCACCTTCGTGTTTTGCTTTTTACTGTACAGTTAAATAAATGCAATTTTATAAATTACATTTCTTACATTTCCGTCAATCATCTTCTTTCGATGTGTTTCAAATACAATTTCAGATGATATTGTTTCTGTGATTTATTCATAATTTGGGCCGGACTGCTTCAACGTTCTGACTGTGTTTGGTGACATTTCAGTCACCTACCCGTGTGAAAAAATAGTAACTGAGCAGTCAGTTAACTAATTTGGGACAAAAATGACTTACTTTGATTCACATTTCAGTACAAAGTGTAGTGTAAGTCTATCATAGTAAACTGAAATCATTTGAACTTACAAGTCAATCTAAGTTGTTTATTTGGGACAAAGTGATTTTCTTAGAACAAAAACATAAATTCAATCAACTAAAGTCAACTGAAGTTATAGTCAGTCAATCATTTTTTTCACACGGGTATTCATACTATATGAAAATAAATATTTTAAAATATGTTCTTTTCAATTTATATGACTTTCGATTAAACGCAATATTATCTTCATTATTGATGTATTTATTTATTTCAAATGGCACCACAATTATACTTTGAGCGACTCGAAAGTTCGATGTATAGTGTCTGCTTTGAGTAATTGCTGATTTTGGTGATTTTTCTACTCGTTATCGAGTATTACCTTATGTATTTGCATAACTTGAAGTAAAACCGAATGCATGATATCCCTTTCAACTTTTTGCTTTTTGATTCAAGAGAAGCTCAAAATTAAAGTACAGATGTAACAAGGAAAAAAAGTATGTAAGAATACAAATATTGATTAGAAAACACATGTGACATTTTTGTCACTATACACAGTTAACCTTTACACCGTGAACTGGGTCAAATTGACCCAGACAAAACTTTGAACATTCATAGCACAGCCAAATATAACAATTATGACGAAATATGGATATGTTTGTGTTCATTGGACTTTCCTCTTTCTACAAAATCATGTGTATACGGCAGATATGCGACGTATGTGTGACATGTGCCGCTAAAACACACACATGCTCTATACGTGAATCTGGGTCATATTGACCCAACTATTTCTTCAGTACACAACTGGACTATGATAAGAGATATCGACTTGATGTCTATGACAAAGTTGTAGTACTCAAGCTGTTCTACAACTTTGTCGAAGACACCA